TTGCGAACTACAATAAGTTTCTTCGCTGTTGATGACAAGCACTGATCCTCTCTATCTTTCTATAGAAGGATTGCTAAGAAGGCACAGCCACCGAGATTTCCGAAAAGCGATTCAACGCCTCAACTACCCTCGTCTCTCAAACTTAGCATCTTATCGCCTCCAGCGACCCGCCAACCTCGACATGGAAGATGGAGCGTGATTCTTCAGCTCCGCGGACACTGCCTCCATTGGAGGTTGAAGATGAGCTGGAACTTGGTACCGTGGGAGTCGAGCGCCATCACAGCCTTCTCGCCCTCCACTCTCACCACCGTCTTGATGTTCAGGTTGGGCACTTTGTTGCACTGGCTCCAGACAAGCGTCAGGAAGTCGTCTGTGAACTCGAAGCTGCCAACCTTTGGGCCTGTGATTTTGCGCTCGATCATTGCCGTACCCATTTGTCCGGAGAAGTAGTACTGTGTCTCGTAGATGCCCTCGGAGCGCTCTGCGATGTCAGCGAACACGCGGCCCGTGGCCCGACCGATGGAGACGCTCCAGCCATCCGGGTAGTTCAGAGAGAAGGACATCTGGCAATTCCTCCTCTTGTCAGCGAGTGATCCGTCCGTGGTCGCAACCATCCCGCCGAACATGAACGTCGCTGTCTTGTAGTCGTTCGACAGCACGTAGTTGGTGTTCTCATAAGTGCAGCCAGAGCCTGCGTAGATGACATAGCGGATAGTCACCTGCGGTGGAGCCTGCGCACTTGCCTGAACTGCAACAACGATCATCACAAGCACGGCCGAGACGCACCATTGCCCTCTACTTCTGCTCCGCTCCCCGTCAATGAGCTTCCCTGCAATTAATGCCGGACGAAGAAACCTGGTCCTCAGAAGACACGAAAGCAGCAGCGGCGAAGCACACCTTGCTGCTATGTTCCAGTCCACTCCTCCGGTTTTCTCCTATCACCACGACAGCAACAAGAACAGATTGGGAATGCCTACGTGATAATCTATGTTAGGCTGTCTAGTCTATGCCCGGTCTAGGCAGTTCAGTTCGCTTTTATACACTCTCTGGTAGCACTCACAAAGGACTCGTCTCAACTGCGGCTTTCAGCCCAATCAGCTCCCCCTTTCTTTTTTTTTCAGAAGAGAGGGCAATGTTCTTGAGATATTATTATTATTATTATTATTATTATTATTATTATTATTAATTATTTTTTGAGAAAACTACGGCGCAGTCAGGGTTTGAGTTTGTAATTGCACTTGAGGCAAAAGGGCCGGTAATGCTGAATGTATATGACCTACGGTTCCGGTCCGGTGGGGTCGCGTGGGGGTGTGTTGTATTTGCGGGATTGCCTGAAGTGCAATTACAAACTGTTATCGTGACTGCGCCAAAGTTACCCCTTATTTTTTTTAATTCCTCCTTGGACTCGGAAGGGGGAGGGCTGCGCCGCGCTCTGCAGCGGTGCAATACAGAGGCGACGCTGGAGGGGTCGAGTAAGCAGGCCTACCCGTCTGACCCCTCCGTAGCCGAGAAAAATTAATTTAATATCATGTGGCCCGATGGACCACGGATCAGATGTTAAACTGATCAGAACAGATACTACACTTGATCTTAGCCAAAAGGCCGAGAAAGGTATGCCATTGACTGGTAGCAGATTTTTAGTATTGAAGTTGGAACACAGGCCTGTATTTCAACAGTTCAGGGGCGTCCCGACTGAGCTAGGCCAGCTCGTGCCCAGTCCATTTTAGCTTGAGTTGTCATGGTCCAGCCAACCAGGCTCATTATATTTCAGAAGTGTTCATCAACCAGTTGCGAGCTCAGGTCCGCATTTGGGCAGTTCGTGAGTGTACCAACTGAGCTTGACACATTCCCAAGCGCCGCAAAGTTCTTTTTTTTTCAAGTTCTCCGGGGGGGAGTGGAATACGCCACACTTTGGTGCAGTGCAATACGAAGGCGATGCTGGAAGGGTAGAGTAGGCACGCCTACCCCTGTGACCCTCCAAAGCCCTGAAAATTAAGTTAATATCATGTCGCCCGATAAGATATTAAATTAATTTTTCAGGGTTTTGGAGGGTCACAGGGATAGGCTTGCAGGCTTGCAGGCTTGCAGGCTTGCAGGCTTGCAGGCTTGCAGGCTTGCATACTCAACCCTTGAAGTTCCAGCGTTGCCTTCGTATTGCACTGCAGGCGCACGAATCAGATATTAAACTGATAAGAACAGATACTACAGTTGATCTTAGCCGAAAGGCCGCGAAAGGTATTGCCTCAACGTTTTTGCGAAACAGAAAAATGGCGCACGGATCAGATATTAAACTGATAAGAACAGATACTACTGTAACAGTTGATCTTAGCCAAAAGGCCGCGAAAGGTATTGCCTCAACGTTCTTGCGAAGCAGAAAAAGCACAAGCATAGCCTGGGGAGTTCTCACCCGAACCTACCAAAATCAACAGTTGCCAATTCAACAGGGGGACACAGGGCTGGGAAGCCCTGAGGGGTATGGGGGATCCACGTATCACTATGATGGTACCAGCAAGACAGTTTCCGCTGATAGATCCGGAAATTATTGCCGCCTATAGATCCGGTATTGTGTCTTTCGGGACGTCCGCTAAAATTGAAAGGACGCACATGGACGCACATGGCCCCTGCCCAAGGATGGCAGGCATTATCAAGACTCTTGAAAACTCATTTTCAAGAATCGCCTCACCACTCTTGGAAACTCGTTTTCAAGAAAACTCGTTTTCAAGACTGGCTGCATCCCCACACACTGGCACACAGCCTCTTGAAACTTTGGGCAGTCAAGAGCAGTCAGAGAGGCAGCCTCTTGAAACCCTTTCAAGAATCGAGAGCAGCTGTTGAAAGATTGGAAACCCCAGCCTGCAACTCGTGCTTTTTTTTTTTTGAGACAACTGCCCCTGTGACCGCTGCATAGTGTCCAATTCACAGGAATAACAGTCCACACTGCAAGCTTGGGCGAAGACCAGTTCAAAACTGCAATAAAAATAGTAAACCGTGCGTTAGACGGCCTACCGGTTCGATAATTGGCAAAAACGGGAGATGGCCGTCGTGTTTTTTTTTGCTTTTTTTATCTTTTTTTTTGCCCCTTCGATTTTTTTTTTTTTTTTTTTTTTTTTTATTTTTTTTTTTTTTTTTAAGCGCCTGCCACAACAGAGCTGTCTAGGCCAAGTCTCTTCAAGGAAGCTACCCTCTTCCCCCGAACACAACGCACCCTCATCTTGGCTGTACCGGACCGGAAATATAGCTTGTATAGGTTCAATTTCAGGGTCGGTAGTGTCCCAGGGGGCATTTTCAGCTGGTGTGGGAGTGGTCCGATTTCAGTTGTAGCCACTTTGGCGGCGCTACGAAATCATTCTGACAGTTTTTTTTTTTTTTTTTTT